GGAGGAGGAGGAGGAGGAGGAGGAGGAGGAGAAGGAGGAGGAGGAGGATGGAGGAGGATGGCGAGAAGTAGAAAGTACAAATGCACCGAGAAAACCATCCATAAAGAGCAATACAATCGAGTATTGAGCCAATGTCCAAGCCCGTAGGCCACACCAACACAATATCCAGAGTCGCTCTCTATGTCTGGTGCACAGCGCCCAACCTATTCTACCATAGGAGAATGATGAAAAAGAGGGAGGAGAAGGGTAGGAGAAAGAGGTGGAGAAAGAAGATGACGAAGAGGAGGGAGGAGAAGAGGAGGAGGAGGAGGAGGAGGAGGAGGGCGAAAAAGAGGGAGGAGAAGGGTATGAGGAAGAGGGGGAGAAAGAAGACGACGAAGAGGAGGGAGGAGAAGAGGAGGAGGAGGAGGACTTGTCTTACCTGGCGGGGGAGAATGAGGCTGGGCGATGGCAAGGGAAGGCGGCTGCGATGCTCGGGGACGTGACGACCAGCAGGCAGCGTGGCCGTGGGGCGACGGGCCATTGGTGGGGAGGGACTGGCATGCCTCAGGCACTACACCAAGCGCAGTCCGAGACGAGGGCTGTGCGAATTCGAATTAAAAAAAGGCCCGATCTGGACCATGGATCGTCCTCGATCAACGGCCCAGATCGGGCCTTTTTTTTTTTCGAAACCGGTAGGTCCCCTGCGAAATCCGACAGTGGGAGGGTGTTCGGGTTGCCGTCTAGTACCCTGCCAGGCCCCCCCAAAAAAAATCCGAGCCCTGCGCATATTTTGCGCAGGCCCCGGAAATACTTTTTTCGGTATTATCCGGTGTCCTTTTTCCGGCCGGATATACCGGATATTCAGAGGGCTTCCGGATATCCGGAATTTCTACTTAGTTTGAAAACAATGTTTAGTCTTTCATTAAAATCCTCTCTCATAATAAAACAAAAGATTGAAGTATTCTGCTTAGAAACAATGCTCAGTCTATCTCAAAGTCATACAAAAAGCATTAAGTTGGACCATTTTGCCAAGCTTTAATCAGAAACTCCAAAATCAAATAGATAGACCAAACCATTTTGCTTAGAAACAATGTTTGACCTCTCAAATCAGACAGGCAAACCCTCAAAAATAAACACAACAACCAGACAATTCTGCTTATAAGCAATGCCTCGGCCTTCAGAAAACAACCAAAAACATAACAATAGGTTATTCTGCTTAGAAACAATGCCCAACTTTTGATCGACCCGTGAAGCACATGCAATAACACATTCCTCTCACATTCCCTCAGTTCATCCCATAGTCCGATTTCAGTAAGAGCAAAAAT